AGTCTCTGTCCATCTGGTCAGTTTTGACATAGGCCTAGTCCACTACACTATTAAAAGTAACTAATGATATTCTCATGGCCTCAGACAATGGACTTGTGTCTATGCTGGTCCTGTTAGACCTCAGTGCTGCATTTGATACAGTTGATCACAATATTTTACTACAGAGGCTTGAATATGATGTTGGGATTACAGGAGCAGCTCTAAAATGGTTTAAATCATATCTATCTGATAGATTCCAGTTTGTAAATGTAAATAATAAATCTTCTTCATACACCAAAGTTAGTTATGGAGTTCCTCAGGGCTCAGTGCTTGGGCCAATACTCTTTACTTTATATATGCTTCCATTAGATAAAGTTTTTAAACAGCATGGGATAAATTTTCATTGTTATGCTGATGACACACAATTATATTTATCCATTAAATCCAATGAATCCAGTCAGCTACTTAAACTACAAGCATGTCTTAAAGACATAAAAACCTGGATGACCCTTAATTTTCTCCTGTTGAACACAGACAAGACTGAGGTTTTGGTTTTTGGACCTGAGCATTTTAGGAATTAATTTTTCAGTCTTTCTCTCTCCTTAGATGGCTATAATCTGTCCTCCAGCTCTAATGTTAAAAATCTTGGTGTTATTGTTGATCATGACATGTCTTTTATCCCTCACATTAAAAACGTTACTAGAACCGCCTTCTTCCACCTGCGTAATATCGCTAAAATTAGAAACATCTTATCTAAATAATGCAGAAAGCCTGGTCCATACATTTGTCACATCTAGACTGGACTATTGCAATGGTTTATTATCTGGGTGTCCAAATACTTCCTTAAAACGTCTTCAGTTGATCCAAAATGCTGCTACCAGAGTCTTAATTGGAGTTAATAGGAGAGATCATATTTCTCCAGTTTTAGTTTCTCTCCATTGGCTCCCTGTCAAATCCAGAATAGAATTCAAAATCTTACTTCTAACCAACAAAGCTCTCAACAACCTGGCTCCATCTTATATTACAGATCTTATTGTTCCATATTTTCCTAACAGAGCACTTTGCTCTCAGGCTGCAGGTTTACTTGTGGTTCCTAGAATTTACAAAAACAGAATGGGAGGCAGATCTTTCAGTTATCAGACTCCTCTCTTGTGGAACCAACTTCCAATCTCTGTCCGTGAGGCTGACACATTATCCAGTTTTAAAACTAGGCTTAAGACTTTCCTTTTTGCTAAATCCTATAGTTGGGGTCGGCTTGGGCTTCCTGAGCTGTCCCTTAGTTATGCTGCTATAGGCTTAGACTGCTGGAGGACAAACTGACCACAATTTTCACTCTGCTTCTGTCTTTACTTACTCTGCTCAACCTGTTTTGTATTTGTAATTATTTTTTCCATCCTTAACATGTGGGGTTTTTTTGTCTTTCAGATACACCTGGACCTATACCTGGACCTACCATTCTGTGTTCGTCTGTCTCCTTCCTGTCCGCTCAACCAGCCGGTCAAAGCAGATGGCCGCTTGTCCTGAACCTGGTTCTGCTGGAGGTTTCTTCCTTTTAAAAGGGAGTTTCTTCCTTTTAAAAGGGAGTTTTTCCTTTCCGCTGTTGCCACTGTGCTTGCTCAGGATGGGAGACTGCAACGAAGCCAAGATTCAACTTGTCTGCTGGATTCCTTAGATAGAGAACTTTACTAATTGGCTTTTATGTGTGTGAATGTTCCTGTAAAGTGCCCTGAGACAACTTTGTTGTGATTTGGCGCTATATAAATAAACTGAATTGAATTAACCACTCAGCCACAGCCGCCTGGATCGGTATCGGCCGATATTCAGATTTAGGTATCGGGATCGGATCGGAAGTTTAAAAAAGTGGATCGGTGCATCCCTAATTTGTAATATCTCTTTCAGAGGACTGTGTGGTCAACATGACTAATGATGTGCAGCAGTGTCTGTGATTCAGTTCCCTGATAGCCAGAACCTTACTGCACACCATTACCCTGCTCTTATGACCATTTTACTCTCTCTGTCTATAGTCACTACTTAAAGACACTTAAAATTAAAATAACTTGTTCTTTCCCACTGTTTCTTAACTTAATGTTAAAGGTCCTGGGGCAGCTGTGGCTGAGTGGTTAGAGCAGTTGTCCTCCAATACAAGAGTTGGGGGTTCGATACCACCAGCTGTTACACTCTGAAGTGTCAATGGGCAAGACACTGAACTCATCATTGCCTCCGATGTGTGTCCGATGAATGAATGTATGAATGTAATAAAGCACTGATGAGTCTTTGTATAGATCTAGTAAGAGTGCTGTATGAATGGGTAAATGAAGGCACCGATTTTAGTGTAAAGCGCTTTCAGTATCTTAAGTTAGAAAGGCACTATATACAGTAAGTACAGTCCATTTAAACAGAAGTTATAAATCACCACACTTCATCACAGATTTACGATATTTATTTTTATAGCGAGATGGAAATGTCTAAAGTTCCAGACTTGATTGCAACAATAGTCATCCATTAATTTATCGTCTCTTTCATGAAGTATGACTTTTCTTTTTATGTGTCTACACAGGTGGTGTCACGTGCAGCCCTGTCATGGCACTGCTGAAGCGGAAGCTAAAATATCTTGTGACAGTGATGATGATCAACCTCTTCATCTTCGTCCTCATCTCTCGAAACAGCGGCCAAGATAAAAATGGACTCGACAAACTCCGCATTCCCTCCAAGGTCTTCTGGGCCAAACTGGTCCCCAGCTCTGCTTACTGGAACCACCAGCAGCAGATTTTGGATATTCAGAACAGTCCCATCTTACTGAGAAACTTAAGCAGTGCAGACCTGCCTGACTGGCTCAATGACACTGCTTTGACCTCTGACCTTTGTCAGCCCAATTTTAGGGTTACCACTCAGGTGAAGGATTACAACACTCTACCACACCGCTTCAAGGACTTCCTGCTTTACATGCGTTGCCGTTCCTATCCAATCACAAGAGATGTGCCAGAGATCTGCAAAGAGCAACCATTCTTGCTGCTTGCGGTCAAGTCCCTCGCACCGCACTTTGATCGTCGCCAGGCCATTCGTCAGTCCTGGGGACGGGCAGGTGTTATAGCCAATAAAACAGTGGTCACTGTTTTCCTCCTTGGTAATGCCACATCTGTGGACCACCACCCAGATCTGTCTGAGATGATGCACTACGAGAGCAGCCACCACAAAGACATTATCCAGTGGGACTTCCGGGATTCATTTTTCAACTTGACTGTCAAAGAGGTCCTGTTTCTAGAATGGATTCAGGCTCATTGCTCTGGCGCACAGTTCATCTTCAAGGGGGATGATGACGTCTTTGTCAACACGCACCGCATCTTGGACTTCCTCAAGGGTTTATCAGAGCCCAAAGCCAAGGACCTGTTTGTTGGTGACGTTATCACAAATGCAGGACCACACAGAGACAAGAAGGTAAAATACTTCATTCCAGAGAGCATGTACATAGGTACGTACCCTCCATACGCAGGGGGAGGGGGGTACCTTTACTCTGGTGACATTGCTGCTCGTCTTCACAACATGTCCCACCATGTAGCGCTCTACCCAATAGACGACGTCTACACTGGGATGTGTCTCCGCAAGCTTGGACTGGGCCCTAAAAAGCATAAAGGCTTTAGGACCTTTAACATTGAGGAAAAGTACAGGTTAAATCCCTGTGCATACAAGAGTTTAATGCTGGTTCACCCAAGGACCCCACAGGAGATGATCCAGATCTGGTCCTGGCTCAGCAGACCTGACCTCTCCTGCCAATAACAGCATTATGGGTCATTCTCAAAGGCCATACTGACCAATAATTCCTCTTGAACAGGGTCATGACTTAAAATTTGGCAGCTTTAAGTTAAGACGATCAAAAAATGGGTCACTTGTAGCCTCAACTTGGTACAAATGTTGGCTTTGTTTATTTTTAGTATTCTATTTTTCGTCAAGGTCATGCTTTACTGTTGATCAAGCTTTATTCAAAGTGAATACCATTTTTAAAACAGCTGTTTATCACGACTATTTATGTGTGCTTTAACATTGGATCAGCTTCATTTCAGAGTGTCTCAATACTGTTTAATATTTTAGGATATAAACAACTTAGAAGTGTCCACCGTCAGTGGGAGCAAGTGAAAGCAAATACATTGTCAGAACTATTAGTATTTCAGTCACATATTAAGCAAATGTTGTTGTTTTTTTTGTTTTGTTTTTTACTTTCAGCTTTAAAAGGTTGGGTGAACACTTCCTGCTGATCATAGCTGAAGAATTAGTTTGTGCTGCTGTTCCCAAACTGTCTGACGTATTTACATGTGACACAATCTAAGTTCAGCTCAGTTCCTCAGTGAAGGCTTGCACCTATTATTAGGCTTGCACAAATTATTTAAGAGTAGTGTTTTGAAACTTCTGAGTCATCACTTCATACATAGTTTCTGTAGTTTGTGTAATCTGCTGTTTTGTTTTATTGTTTGGTAACTCTTACGTTGGAGTCATCAGCAAGCTTTTAGGTGGGATGTGAGCACAGAATTGGCTTGAAGGGACCATAAAAGGCCTGGCTTTGTTTAGCTTAGCAGGTCTCGACTTGATGCGATCCAAATGCTGTCTAATCCTGCTTTGCACAAAAATAAAAAAACAGAACACCTTGGTTTTTGAGGTGTAATTTCTGTTGAGGTTCTTAAGTAGAACTGCGACTCTACAAGCCAACTCACGGGTGTCTGTGATTGTCATTAAGTGTTAAACGCTGCTTTAATGTGAAACTAGTGCTTCAAAGCTAAAATTTTTTTAGACACAGGTGTGGAAAGATCTAACTGAAGATACTTATTCTAGTATATCAACAAATCTGTCTTCATTTAACTGGTGATTGTGAAAGTTTAATTTCAAAATGGTCCATTTTTATTTAAGTTAGGAGAAAAAGCAGTTTAGCTCTAGCGAAAATTTAGTCCTATTTTCAGTGCACGAGCAGAACCCTGGCTTTATGTTAGATTATGTTTATTTTATGTCTGGTCAGAGAAATGACTCCTAACTGTGTGTTTCCAACATATTTATGGCAGATCTACGTTTTATTTCACAGAGATCTGATAAAAGAAACATGTTTCAGGATTTTCGTTTCTGCAGGTGTGTTTAAATGGGAGATTTTACATCTCAGTTAGACCACCCCCTGCCGGTCAGGGTTGTAAAAACCAAGTTTGTGAACCAAAACTCATCCACAACCTAATTTATTTTTACCATTTTAATATCATTTCACTGTCTGGCTTCTTCTACTCTTTAAATGATGAAGTGGGGTTTGTGGTGTTCTGTTTAACATGTGGCAGAATCCTTCAGTCTTTGTGTTGGATAAAACAAACACTAAAGAATCAACATATGCGCATTCAATTCATTTAAACATGATTATAGCCACACTTCTGTGTATTTTTACTGTTTATATACCAGCATATTTTACATTCTGTCACTGAACACAGCTTGTGGCGTCTTAAAAATGTTTACTTGTGATTTAAGTCCCTTTCACTTGTTTTTGCAGTTTTCATTTGCCTTTAAAAAATGTATTTTGTCTTCACATGTTGCTGTTCAACATCATCTTTTGTAATATTTTTAATTGACTTCTTGTTGTACACTGTGCCTCTTGTTGTTGTAAAATCTTGTTTCAAAGGACCTTTTTATTCTTTGTGAAACATAATTCGACTTTGTTTGAACCGTCAATGTTTCTCCGGCCTCTGCAGTCAGCTTCATATTCCTTAACTTCTCTAGGTTTTTCCTCTGCCTAGGATTTTTTTTTACCAAGGCAAAAATCGGTTAAAAATGTTCATGTTAATATTCAGTTGTTTGAATGACTGTTCGTTTAACAGTTTTGTTTGTTTTGTATTTATCCTTATGCATTTTGTAACACCAGACTTCAAACACATTCTGGTAACATTTTCTGTCTAGTTTCATACAGACGTCGTCCTGAAACCTGTCCTTACTGTGGACCAAGATGACTCCCAGATTCCCACCTGATGTTTGTCTGCGTGTGTTTGTGTGTGAGGGAGCATGATTGTTTTAAACTAAGTGGTATATTTCAATAAAGTTCTATTTTGTCGTTTTTGTAAACATATCTGTCTGTTCTTAATCTCAGAAGCAGAAGTTAAAAGGTGATTGTTTTACCGATGTTTTAATGAAACCCCGAAAAGTACGCCTGCAGCTGATTAGTTCATCCCAGTTCAAGATGGCGACCATAAAAATATTAGTTTCCAGTTTCTACTGAATATTATAAATTGACAGGTCTAAGATGTGTAGCTCATTTTTCAGTTGAAATAATTGGTTTTAGAATGAGATAATCGAGCCATCCATTAATTAATCCATCCATCATCCATTGTCTTTACCCGCTTCTTCCTTTTTGGTTCGCAGGAGTCACTGGTGCCCATGTCCAACTATCGCTGTGCGAGAGGCGGGGTACACCCTGGACAGGTCCAAGTCCATCACAGGGACACAGACAAATGAGACAAACAACCATTCACTCTCTCTCTCACCTAGGGACAATTTAGAGTTACCAATCAGCCTAACGTGCATATTTTTGGTCTGTGGGAGGAAACCGGAGTACCCGGAGATAATCCACGCATGTACGGAGACAACATGCAAACTCCACCCAGAAAGGCCCTGGACTGGGGTTTGAACCAAGGACCTGCTCGCTGAGAGGTAGCAGCTCTACCAGTTGCGCCACCGTGCTGCCCTA